TTTTTTTTATTAAATATTGTTATTTTTTTACTCTACTTTTAGAGGCATTGGGGAAATATTTGAGGTCTAAACAGACTCCTGATAATTCCCTTTTAAAATAGAAAAAGAGATTGAGGACACAGAGTCCTCAGAGACACACAGGGTCCCCAATCTCTTTTTCTGTTATCAATGATCACTGAGTGTTCCTGATCATTCATAACATGAGGACAGAGTATGTTTACTACAACCACAGTCATGAATGAACAGGAAGTGATGTAGGAGGTGATGTAGATCACTTCCCATTCATTCATAATTGGGGATATAGTAACCATACTCTGTCCCCATATTATGTACAAACACTCAGCGATCACTGATCACATGACTGCTTGTACCCCGCTCTCCTTCCTGGATCGGCTGTCACAGGAGGCTGAGTGAGCGGTGCGGGGAGGAGAGCTCAGCCTCCTGTGACAGCGCTGTCTCCGCCCACAAACCACTCTGCCGAGCGGAGCGCTGTCTCCGCCCACACAACGCTCTGCCGAGCGGTGTGGGGGGAGAGACGCCGGCCGCTCGCAGCGCTCGGCCGGCTGTCACTTTCTCTCCTCCCACACTGGGACACAGAGCAGCGCCCAGCGGGGGGAGGAAAGAAACCAGGGATGCGCCGATGTATCGGCAGGAAAATGGCACTTTCAGGATGTGTTTATAATGTAGATGTAAAATCAATAACACGTCGAGGGCCCATTCACCCCACAAGGCCGTGTTCTCATGCGTTGATGTGCGTTGTGTTGGCGTAGGTAACAATGAGGCAGCCAGAATTCTGATCTGTATATAGAATGCCGAACCTTCCTCCAGATTCTACACGTCGTGGCCAGCAGGGGGAGTCACTTCCAAGACCTGGATGCAGCTCGGTGGATCTAACCCTGGGGGGGGGGGGGGGGGGGGAGGCCCCACTGCAAGGGTAAGTTTCTGATTTTCCAAAACTTCTTCTTTGTATGTTACGGGATGATATACAGGTGCACATTCAGGCGAGGTATTTTTTTAAAGCTAAACTGCAAAACTGTGAACTAGGCCAAAACACTCCCTAAACTCTGCACAGATGTGGTCAGCGGCTACAGAATGAATATGGACGAAATTGTGAACTCTGGGTAGATATAAAAGATGCAAATTGTAGCTCTGTATTCATGAATACATTATTGATTATATTTTTTACCTGAATTAGACTTGCTATCAGCCTCTTGCAGCTCCCTCTACAGCAAAGCTCAGACTGAGTGAAGAATAAGCAGCACAAGAAGCCAATCAGTTGTGCTGAAGTGCTTATGTGATAAAAAGGAGCATGCTGGTAAGAGAAGAGAGCAGATTAACAGAGAGAGGAGCTCATCTGTCTGCTGATTCTATTTTCACATCGTCCATTCTTTATCTTATTGGTGAGCTCAGATCGGTTATCTGGGCTCCGAATATTCAGAAGACGATTGATTGGGGTACATGGGGGGCCTTATGAGAGATGAAAGTCTGAGAGACTCCATCCGGCCAAGACTAGAACTCCTGATTCATATGGGACTTGACCCTTGAAGAGAACCAGTCACCGAGTCCATTTAAGATTCCGATTATTAGAAGTCTTCTGAAGTATTTGTGCTCCTCGGGGAGTCAGGGGTCATAGGTCACCCGAAGACTTTCGGGTACATGTTAGGCCGGAAGATTACCTAAAGCCCCCCCCCAATAAAATGGTGACGCAATATTCTCATTTTTCAAGGAACAATACACTCAAAATGAACCTTCCTGATTGTACATCACAGGACGGTAATTCTGGGACCAATGGGTTATGCACCTACCTTCAGGAACGGCCCTGTATAGCCCCTCCCACTCCCAGCATGCCTGAGTTTTTGACTAGTATCGTTAGGCGATGGACCGCCTCTCTCTGCTCTGGAGGACCTGCAGTGTTTTCTGATCGAGACTCTTCTAGAAGGTTTCCAAGTTCTGCTCACAGCCACTGCAGCACCTATCGGCAGGCAATCTGATTCGGTTTTCTACATGGAGGAGCCTTGGCAGTCCTGACCCGGAAGGAATGGTCGGCCGGTCTAGAGTGTGTCCCGACCTCTCTCCAAAGACACAATGTCTGGCCCTGTGGACACCATGCACATAGTGTTTATAGTTAGAGCTAGGGATGCACCGATACTAGTATTGATGCCGAGTATTTGGGCGAAGACTGCTCGGATGCCTGGCCCGATACTTCCGGTATTAGGAAGCCGGGCGGCGCGTCATCACAAGTTTCTGTACTGGAAGGACATCTGTTGGCCCTCCTGGGACATTTCTGATTCCTGGCTCCAGTGTGTAGTAACCAAGGGCCACAAACTAGAGTTAGCCCCCCTGTGTGCACTGCAACACCCAGACGTGACCCCTCTGTGCGCTGCAACACCCAGACGTGACCCCTCTGTGCCTTGCAACACCCGGATGTGACCCCTCTGTGCCCTGCAACACCCGGATGTGACCCCTCTGTGCCTTGCAACACCCGGATGTGACCCCTCTGTGCGCTGCAACACCCGGGTGTGACCCCTCTGTGCCCTGCAACACTCGGACGTGACCCCTCTGTGCCTTGCAACACCCGGATGTGACCCCTCTGTGCCCTGCAACACCCGGATGTGACCCCTCTGTGCCCTGCAACACCCGGATGTGACCCCTCTGTGCCCTGCAACACCCGGATGTGACCCCTCTGTGCGCTGCAACACC